CGGATGGCGTCTGCCGCGTCGCCCTTGCCATCGTTCAGGGCATCCAAGATGCCAGCTGCGTTCTCTTCTGGGGTTTTGCCGATCTGTACTTGGTAGGTGCGCACATTGGGAGCCAGCTCCTTGGCAAATTTCAATCGGCCCTCATCAATGTCGGTGATGATGATGGGTGACGCACCAGCAGCCTGGACACAGGCCAAAGTCACCAAACCAATGGGACCGGCTCCAGTCACAAGGACGGGGTCACCCAGACGCACGTTGGCACGGTCAAGACCAGCGAGGGCGACACAAAGCGGCTCCAGCAACGCACCGTTCTCGAAGCTCATATCGCCGATCTTGTGGCACCAGATGGCCGGGTGGTTGACGTAGCGACGGAGGAGTCCGTCAACAGGAGGAGTCGACAAGAACTCGACGTTTTCGCAACCGTTGTAGCGCCCGGTCAGACAGGGCTCGCATTTGTTGCAGATGATATTGGGCTCGATAGCGACCCTGTCTCCAACCTTCAATGTCTTAACGTCTGGAGCGACGGCGAGCACGACACCAGCGGACTCGTGGCCGAGAATGTGATCGCCCGTAACAATCATAGGACCGATACAGCCGGCATGCCAGAAATGAACATCAGATCTAGATTGCGCAAGCACCAAGTCAGTATCAACACCGGAAAATTCCTAGACAGCAGATAAAGGCATACCCGCAGATACCGGTGCTCCTAATCTCGACAGTCACCTCACCGGGCTTGAGACCTTCACCCTTCCGGACCTCCTCCACGGTTGGCTTTGCGTCGGCCAACCACAGATCATGGTTGGGGTTGGTGTAGACACCAATGTTGGGCTTGGACGGGGCAATGGTCTCTGTAGCCATGGTCGCTGGTCAAAGTAGCAAGGCGTGCTGCGAATGCGAAAAAGCGACTGAGAAAGATGCGCTGCGAAATTGCAAAGGCGAGAAAGACGGGCGAGGAGCGGCCTTGAATAAATACTACGGCTGTACAATCAAACAGCAACACGGGCGATTGGTGGAGCTGGTACATCATCTGAACAAGCAGTAGCACCGTAACGAGGCCTTGATTGGCCTCTGTAGCGTCTGAAAGAGGGTCTTCTGGACTAGCCAGCCCGGATAATCCATAGTGGGATGTTTTCTTTTTAACCGCCGCAGCGCGGGGAAGGAAAAATTACTTCTCCCCGCGGCGCCTGGCTTTGCGTTCCTGGTCGGGTAAATATGTAGATCAATGTAAAATACTGCAGATAGTGCATCATTCTGGATTCGCTCTTTGCGTCTTGGTCTCTTTGTCTCCCGTCTGGTCTTCATGAACAACAGCCCGGCTGGTTACATGCTGATCGCGGGGTTGCGCCGTCGTGTCACTTGACACGGCGCACTGCCAGCACATCTGGCGAGGCGGAGGCCGGTAAAATGAAGCACGGTTGGAACATGGCCCGCAACGATGGGCCTTGGATCTTTTGAGACGCGAAACTGAAAGCGTAAAAGCGCAAAGGACTTGGGTGTGGGCGACTTCGAGGAGGACTCTCGGTTGAGCCAGTTCGGTTAATTTCCGGTGGGTCATGCGGTTGCGGCATCGCCAGTACAATGCGACTGCGTATACATCGAATGCTTGACAATAACACTTGTAATCCACATACGTAGTAAGTAATGTGTCTATCTGCAACCGGTGTGTCGATCAAATACACTAACTGTACAAGCGCAGCGAGACCCGGGGAGTTTAAAGTCTAGCAGCACGCTGTATACATAATAGCGAGTGAGTATAGAAGAATCACTACAGATGGATGATGGCTATTATTATTGAGACAGTACATGCCTATGTACCTCTTAAGCCAGGTTCTACGTTACTAAGCGGCATGTTGTTACGTACCGCTGCACATCAAGTTTAAAAGACACGGGTATTACTTTATATAGTAACCATGTCGTTTCTATATGCACACTCGAAAGTTAATTAAACATTGAAGGTCTAGAACAGATTCTTGGGCTTCTAGAAATCAGCTGTACCAATCCAGTAACAAGGTCCCAGCCCTCCGTGGCGTTCCTAGTAATAGAGAACAATATGGCAAATTTTATTGAGACCGTTATGGATTCTCCGCGCGGATAATTCAAATTACTCGTTTATTCATTGGAAGACAGACGAAGCCGGTCTTTGATGACTATGAAAGCAGATGGATCACTACTCAGACTAGCATCTCAGAGGTCAACACTGTTGTCTATATTGTTCTTTTTTTTTATTGCCGATTTATTACAGGGGCTCCTGGGTTTCTTGGTTACGTAGGGTGGTTCCACATCCAACAACTACCAGCGGCAGACTTCAGCTTATCAAAATGTAAGGCATGTGCAAACCGGTTTGGGCCTTAATTTGCACCGGACAAATATCAGTTTATCCATTTTACCCAAAAAACGATGACGGAGGATCTAAAGTCCATTATCTGTATTCAAGCGCAAAGGTATAAAGGCAACATTTGAATAGAGAAAGGGATATCGGTTTTTGAATACTATAGCACGAATCACCAGTTGACAGCATCTAGGTGGGGATCTTCAGCTCCGCGCACCTGATTGCTATATACAGCTACGTGGAGACCTGCAATGGCTTAAGGAGCGCAGATATAACGAGGAAAAAAAAGAAAACATAGCTTAAATATGGACCTGGGGCGAAACCAACACGTAAAGCGATTATGATTGGATTATATAAATGCTAAAATGAATTGCGACAGAACTAGCAAATACTAGAAATTAATAAACATTTAATGTCACAGTTGGGATGACGCCATCTAAAGAGGGAAATATATTCTATTTAAAACAGGCGTCGTATACTGATAAAGATTGTAGTGTGAGGTTCGAATATATATGCTAGAAAGCAGGCGAGTGTTCTAGAATTCAGTGCGCACTACCTGGAAGATCAATATATTGCTGACCTCCAGAGTAGCATTGTGGGGAGCTTCTCTACCTATCTATTGTCTTGGCACCTGGCTTCGGTCTTTTATGAATCTGTTGTGGTCTCGCCTGAAATGGTCGCGCGTCAACTGGTACGGCTTCACATATAGATAATATTATACAAACAGTGTCAAGTACATCATTTTATATATTAAAAAAAGACGAAGAGCCTTCAAATATACTGTTTATAACAGATTCACGTCAATTGCTAATAATGGTCACCAATAAAGTCATACAGGTGACCAATAAGATTATATAACCAAATGCGACTTGGGGAGATCAGGGGCGAAACCAACATACAAAACAACTGTTATTATTAGGCAGTACAAATTTTAACCTAGATCATAATGAATGTATTCAACGTCAAGGGTCAAAGAATACAATATCACCGTTGGGGCGGCATGATCTAGAGTGCGCTGTATATTCCCTATCTAAGAAATGTGTACACCAACAGTGACCGTAGATACAACCATGTCAGCAATGCATGAATGTTGAGGATTAGAGAATACTAGGGTTGAGATGACATGATCTAGAAGAAGCAATGAAATATGGAAAGAGAAAGAGTCGCTCTGAATCTGTCTATATTTTCGTGCGAGAACACGAATATAAAGAGTTCGTGTCTCCTCTCTACATGGTCGGATATACCAACATTGAATTCAGTCAACATTGAACATTCGCTCTCTATTTTATACCAACTTATATAATCTCTCCTTTAAGTCCACATTATACAACGCTACTATCAAAATGAAGGTCACAATCTCTCTCATCTCCGCCGTTTGTCTTCATGCAGCTGCAGCTGCAGCTCGTATGTGAAGCCTATACCTGCATCGACCATAGTGAAATGCTAACCGCCACTTTTTATAAGAGCTTGCAAGTGACTGCAATGTAGAGGGAAACCTATTTTCGATTGTTGTTAACAAAGTATTGCCCAATGTAACCATGGAGAATGAAGTCTCCATCACTTCATTTGGTCGAAAAGGCACCGACGGACGGCTCATCATGTGGAGCGGCGACGACGACGACCAGACTCAAAAAAGAACTAGCTTCTACATCAACAAAGAAAACAAGCGCCTGGTTGCTATCAACCCCTTCCTCCCCCAGCTCTTTGCCAGTGCCTACACCGAGAAACCCGAAGGCGGAGAAATCAAGTTTACTTTCGAGAAGGATTCCGATAAGAAATACTACTGGCCGGAGTTTGGTTTGGGAGACTTGTGGGATTTGACTGTCGATGGCAAATCCGATGCCTTTTACCTCTGCGGATCAACCAATTCAACTAAACTCCTCGATGGCTCCCTCGCGATCGGAAAGGTCGCTGGCAAGAACTGCCAGCCTTTGGATGCTACCTTGATCTTTCCCCTCAATTCTGACCTGCTATAATGGACAAGGTGACATTTGGTCCATGCACCTGGAATATCTGGGTGTCTAGGATGCAAGAGTACAACACGATATAGGCGGTCGAAGACAAGCACTCAAGGGACGGTGCATGCACATATGTAGATGGAATACACTTTCACTTCTGAGTCAAAAATTACTGATATTTCACGAACCTCGGGTGCGACACTAATATAAAATTCCGAGTAGTAATAGTAATAATAGTCGTGATTGTTTCGGAAATTTTACTGACATCGCACCAAGTCCAGTTCATAGAAGAACACAGTATAGGTTTTCTCATCTTTGATAGTTAGTGATGCTGATGATATTAATGTCTAACTTTTTCCCTGGCCTCGTACCATTGTGACTTGTATAAAACATCTACCTTTGACTCTCTTCGCGGCTCTTGGGCCTTCCTCCGAAAACCTCTGGAGAGTATCAATTGATATGCAGGAGTACTAGGGCAAAAGTGGTGATACTTGAGCGACTTTGTTTCGGGGATTACTAAGTATCCAGTTAATTTAGCATGCATCTAACGCACGGTTACAATATGGTCAACTAATTACAATGCAGCCTTTAATAATAATACACCATCAACGACGATAGCCGATAAACCAACCGGTGCATGCAACGTTGAGTATTTTCGGGGCACTTGTGGAATTGCTCAAAATAGCATTTTTGAAAATTCTCGTGCTATGTATGGCCCTGTGGTGTAGTGGTAGCACGTCAGCCTCCGGTGGTTCATTCTGTCTGCTGAAGATCTAGGGTTCGAGCCCCTACAGGGTCGCTTTTTTTTGTGCCGCTGTTATACAACATAACGTCGCATTTCTTGAATATCATGGTCTTTGCGACATATTCTTGCAGTTAAGTGAGGAAGCAGCGAGCAGGTATTTTTGTAATTTTCGTGGTAAGCGGTCAACTGCACGTAGTGGTCAACAGTTGTGTAGACATAAATATTATTGATATCATCACTCTCAACCTCCGCTCCTCCTTCTCTGCCAGCTTTCTCTGCACAAACTAGTCAATACCGTTTCTCTCCTCCCCAGTCAAGAGCTGCATTCTATCATTTAACCCTCTCTCCCTAAAAACCGGCGATCAATCCTCGCCCAATACAGCATGTCAAAAGCCCAACTCCTTCTCGCCGCATATATTAGTCGTCCAGACCTGCAGGCCATCTGGGCGCTCGAGGAGTAATCAGGCACCAGTACACAAACCCTGCTGGAGCAGCATACGCAAATTCCCAATCAATCGCACCCGCGGCTTTGTACCCGCGCTCTGGATTTGCAAGGACGTTTGTGGGCCGAGAGTCGTTCTAGAAGAGTTTATGCTTAAAGGATGGTGGGTTACAACAACCCATTCGTCGTCGAAATCATCATCTTCATTGTTTGTAATCCTGCCGATTTGCTGAGATATCCTAAGTCATTCCATAATGAAGTACATGAGGGATACAAATACTCGTATGTCGTCCAATAAATCTCATCACAGAAACCTCTCGCTGGACTTTTTCTTCAGGAAATTGAGATATCCCTGGAATAGTGGAAACGTATGAGAGCAGACCCGCCATCGAGAAACTTGATGTCATGCGGAATATCAAATTAAATGCGCCTTTTTGCGGGTTGAAGAGTTCTTTAGCCGGGGCCACGCATGTGTCTAACAGTAAAATTCCCGATTCTCGAAACAATCTTCATTGAAAAGCTTCTTTTTCTAGGCGTTAGAGATGTCGTCGCTTCGGGCCCATGCGCGGCGCTGTGATAATTGGCTTATGGGTGAGTTCCCTTATGATTGAAAATAATAATAATAAACCCAAAGGTAATGTTTTGAAGTAATGGATTAGTTAGATCTTTTATGTAACTATAAGAACTTGAATTACAAGCACGGTTTCTTTCCTAAACGTATCAGACGTGTACATGATGAAAAACCGCCAACATAACTCATATTAGGCTATTTGCATGCATATATCGTGGAACACAGAACCTAATTCGACAATCGTTAAACATTCATGGAAATCTAATGTACTCAATTCAACATAATTCAAAACTGATTCATAGTTTCTATTACTATTGTTTGTCATAACATGATTAAACTCAACGCTAGCAAAAACAGCCAAAATAACCCAGTTCCCTTGCTCCGGATCGTATCAGATATACATCTATTATGATTTGCCATATTATTATTTTCAGACCGCCAAGGAAAGTGCACGGATAAACCGAAAAGACATCCAATCACTTAGAATGCATAGGACGCGCCTGATATATGTACATATTTTTATAAAAGAAAAGCACTAGGAAATAATCTACAAAACGTAAGCGACCATGGCAGCGACGAAGCCGTAAAGGGCGACGACGGAGCCTGAGGCGCTGACGCTGGAGACAGCACCGTTGGTGGGAGCTGGGGAACCGGTGGTGGTCGCACCGGAAGAAGGGCCAGAAACACCAGGAGTAGTGGTGCCACCGGGAACAGCAACGGAGGAGCTAGGAGTGGTAACGGCGGTGGTGAAGGTTGAGGTCGCGGTGCCAGAGGATCCGCCACCTGGGGCAGTAACAGTGCCGGTAGTGGTGCCGGTGGTAACGCCAGTTCCAGTTCCAGTGCTGCCAGCGCCGGTGGTAGTGGTGGGCTTGGTAGTGGTGCCAGGCTCAGTGCTGGTAGGGGGGACGCTAGTGGTCTTAGAAGTGGTGGTGGAGTGACCAGCAGAAGTGGTAGTGTCAGGAGAAGTGGCACCACCAACCTTGATACTGTCGGCGGAACCGCTGGTGTCGGTGTAGGTGTAGGACGATCCAGGGTTGGCATTCTTGATGGTAACAGACTCGACGTACATGGTGAAGGGACCCTTGGTGAAATCGGTGACACCGCCAGCCCATTCAATAGTACCCTCGGGCTCGCTGGGGTCACCACCAGCCCAGATACCAATTCTCAGGGTCATGGGAGTCTGGGGGAAGTATTTGCCAGCAGCGGAGGCCTCAAGGGTGCGAACAACGTTGCCATCAATGGACCAGGTGATGGCATCCTTTTGCCAGTCAATGGTGTAGGTGTGAGTCTGGGTCTGGGGCGAGTCGACATTTGGGTAGGTAGCACGGTCATAAGTGGCAGTGTTTCCTTTGCCGAAGTAGTTGGTCTCAATGGTGCTAGTCTGACCACCGAGGGCTTCCTAGAAGGTTGTTAGCTACATCTTGACCAGAGAACAAATTGCATTGGCAACATACCCAGTCAATCTCGTCCAAGTCATCGGACTCGAGCACAATGCTGCTGACAATGCCGGTACCGGGAGCGGCCTGCATCTTGACTTCGACAGTGCCAAAGAAGAAGTAGTCCTTGGTCTGGATGGTGGGGGCATCACCGTGCTTGGCGACGGTGAAGCCAGCGCCCTGGCTGTTGTAGGTGATTTCACCGGCGGTAACCTTCCAGTCGTCCGAAGCGCCAGAAGTGAAGTCGGAGCTCAAGGTAGCACCCATGCCAGAGTCGGCGGGACAGGCTGCATTGCGTCAGTGGAAAATCCATAGCGTAGACGAGAGGGGACCTACTCTTCTCGAGCGGGTTGCAGGTGGTGTAGGTCTGGGCAGAAACCATCGGCATGGCTGCGGCGAGCAGCACGGCTGCCGACTGGACCAAAGTGGAATACATCTCGAGTGTCTTTGTGTTTTGTTGTTCAGTGAATTCCGAAAGCGAAAGCAAGCCCGATATATCTATGTAGCGAGTGAGAAATCGGGATGGCGTCACAACGTTCTAGAGTATAGAGTGCGTGCGAGCAATAGAACGGTAAACAACACAGAACAGGTAGAAGCGACAGTGAGGATGAAGCGACACACAGTGAGAGAAGAAGAAAAAGAAGAAGCAGCAGAAGCAAGAGAGGCCGTGGGAGACAGCAGGAGGCGGAGTTTATATTGCATGGTAACAACGAGCAACGGAGGGCTGACTGGGTGACTGGTCCGCTCCCCACAGGGAAGGCGGGACCGGAGCCCAACCACCAGCGCACCTGCCCTGTTTGTGCCATGGGCGGCGCTTGCTGCTTGTTGCTTGTTGGTTGATGACTCGACGCGAAACAGGCAACGGCAGGGCAAGCTGGGCCGATAGGGAAGGAGCGTGGCAACGTTTGCCTGCGTCGGTGGAGCCTCGCCGAATGGGGTAGTGGAGGCTGGTCAGGCCCACGACGCTAGGCTGTGTTGGGCTTAACACCGATCACGCTAGTGCGCTTCTATTTTTGCATTGCCAGATTTTCAGGGGATTCCATGATTTTGGTGAGCACTGGCAATCCCTGCCTCGCCAGCCACTGCGCAGTCCTTGCATGGCAGCTCGGGGGACGGAGTACGTACATGTGACGCAGCACACAGTTGTGTTTAGTAGTATTGTCCGCTCTACCGACGCTCTGTACACAATACATAGTGTATAATTATCTATGTAATAGTAATAGTCCCATAAAAAGACATAATAATATGTAATAATACGCACAGAGGAGATGCGCATCAAATAATGTCTCACAGGCTCGCTCTGAGACTCTGGACAACGCGTGGGGTCCCTCTTATCGGACCAATCACCACTGCCCAACGCGCGGCCCTCGGTCGCCGGGCCAATCAGATACTGCCAATGGAGCCCCGGGATGACACCGTGCCAAGCCTGTCTCAACGACAGAGTTACACCCTCACCGTCACCAGGTTGCACCCTTTGCTCTCTCGGCTCTAGCGCCGCCCACCGCACGCTGTCAGACTGTCGCGAACGACGGGGGCCAGGACCAGTCGGTCATTTTCGATAGCAACTGAGCAGGGCCGATGCTGGCGATCATCGTCCGTGGGCTCCGTGGAGTCACAGGCCCAGTGTTTCGCATTTTGATCGACGTCTCGCTGTCCACGTCCATGGTCATGTCATGGCTGGGTCCGTCTCAGACATCCCGCAAAAAAAGCAGGCCACCATTGCTACTGCTGTTGCCGACGCAGAGACGAGCTGAAGTACTCACGCCAGCAACAAGCGCTGCAGCTAATGCTCAATAGCTTCAAGCCTTGTCTCTCTTTAGCTTGCGGCTTAACCTCGCTTTGGGCCTAGCGGAAACCTAGAGGCGAGGGTTTTCGGATACGAGACTGCGAGTGCCGAGAGCCCCAAGCAAGTGCCAAGCGAGGGGAGCGCCGGGCACTCGCCAATCAGCGCCCCGCATCGGCGTGTTGTCTTTCTTTCTGTTTATGGATGGCTGGATCTGTGTCTCATGCCAACCGTCGCTATGCGCATTTGCATTTGCTTGAAATTTCAACCTCAGACACTGTTTCAGCTCTGCTCAATCGACTAATGCTTGTCCGAGAAGCAGATTCCGATATTCGGCTTTTATTATCCCAGAAACACATCCACATGTATGAACCTCAGGTCAACTCAAAGCGCTCGCTGATGGTCACCCGCTCTAGCGCCTCTGGTGTCCAGTCGCGATATCCGCACGCTGCGGCCGGCCACTGTAGTAGCCGCAGAATTTCGGGGTTGCTGCTATTCTCTTCCAGATACATGCAAATCGCCCGGCACTCAGGTATAATGCGCGCATGAATCCACACCTGATACGACGCCATTGCACTCATGAGGGCCATCCACCAGCTCAAAATGAGCAGCGCACGCTCGTCGTTGATGCGCAACAGCGAGATAAACTCGGGCAGAATCTGGCCCATCCACGTGACGAAGATGTTGTAGTTGCTGGGCTGATCAAAGGGCTCGAGAGTTAGCATGCGGCTTAACAGCTGGATGTGCCAATGGTACGGGTTTGCTTCCGGCGTCGTGCTCTCGTCGATTTCGCACAAATCAGCCAGCGCCTCGTGCATGTCA